TGATCCTCAGATCTCAGCCTCCTGAGTAGCTAGTATTTCAGGTGTGAGCCACCAGCACCTGGCTTTATCCTACTTTTAATTACCCATTGAGCATCAGCAGGTCCATATGAAGAGGCAAAGTTTTCAGCATCCTGAGACATCCCACCCCTTCCCCTGTCCTTTTCTCTACTCCACACGTCCTGGGCTCCGCTGACAACCACTTAGGAAAGGAAAGGTTGGTTTTCTTGTTGCAGTACACCTAAATTGCTAGGATCTGAATTTCTGTAGGGTCTGTCTCCTTAACTTTTGTTTAGGGAACTAGTAGAGAATCCATTTCTTTCTCCCATAGGATGGTGTCAGGGAAGGGGGAGTTTGAAGGTCTTCCTTTTACCTTTAGATTCAACCTGAATGGATAGGTGAAGGATGGGGAAGATCTGTAGTAGGGATGTAGTGACAGGGTTGGACTACAGGACTATTTAAGGGGAAGAATACAGTATCCATAGTACACTCCTAGTGCAAATGTAGAGCACCACACATCACAAGCTAAGGTAGACTAGCAGTAGAAATCAACTTCCTCACAGTTCCTTAGACCCAAAGTCTGAGGCAAAAGTGTTGGCAGGCTTGGTCCCTTCTAAGTACTAGGACCATGAAGAATCTGTTCCTGGCCAGACACTGGGCTCACACCTGTCAGCAACTCAGGAGGCTGAGATCTGAGGATTAAGATCCCAAACTAGCCCAGGTAGATGAATACATGAGACTCTTATTCCTATTAACCAACAAAAAGCTGGAAGTGGAGGTATGGCTCAAGTGGTAGAGCGCCAGCCTTGAAAGGAAAGGCCAAGGGCTGGGAAGGTGGCTCAGTGGTAGAGTGCTTGCCTTGCATGCATGAGGCCTGGGTTCGATTTCTCAGCACCACATAAGCAGAAAAAGCTGGAAGTGGCACTGTGGCTCAAGTGGTAGAGTGCTAGTCTTGAGCACAAAGAGGCTCAGTGACAGTGGCAAGGCCCTGAATTCAAGCCCCAGAAATGACAAATAAATAAATAAATAAAATAAGGGAAGAGAGGTCTAAGTTCAACTTTCAGTATTGGCCACATGCACGCATACATGCGCACGTACACACACACACACACACACACAGACACACAGACACACAATCTGTTCCTGACTCTTTACCTATATTCCTGGGACTTGTGGGCTGCCTTTGCTATTCTGTTTCATGCATTTATGGGAATTATTTTGAGAAGCAAATATTGGGCGTGATAATGATATTTGAATTTCCTGGTTTTGTTAGGTTTTTCTAAATTGCTTTTACAGCAAGTGGAGCACATTTACATGTCAGTTTCATTCAGGGACAAGCTGGAGGACTTGGCCGGGAACTTGAGCTGTCACTCACGTCCTGCTGGTAGCCTGGGGCCTCTTCTTGTCCCTTGTGCACCAATTTTTTTTTGGCAAATTATTTTTTCCTCTATTTTTTTGCTGTGGGGTTATACTATTAAACAGAGGTGCAATGTTATATTTATCAGATAATTTTTTCTTATTTACAACTATGTATCTTGTTCACAATACTCTCTCAGGCAGAGTAGACTACTCTGTAAATGAATAAAATAAACAAGTGAATGAAAACTGATCATTTTGTGCATTCACTTTTTCCCCTTGAGAAATAACATCTGAATATCTTTTTTTTTTTTTTTTTTTGTCAGTGGTGGGGCTTGAACTCTAGGCCTGAACACTGTCCCTCAGCTCTTCAGCTCAAAGCAAATGCTGTACTACTTGATCCAGTGTGCCACTTCTGGTTTTCTGAGTGGCTTAATAAGACTTTCCTGTCTGGGCTGGCTTTGAACTGTGATCCTCAGATCTCAGCCTCCTGAGTAACTAGGATTACAAGCATGAGCCACGGCACCCGGCTCATCTGTATATCTTTTTTTTTGAGGGGGGGAGTCCGGTCGTGGGGCCTGAACTCTGGGCCTGGGCGCTGTCCCTCAGCTCTTCAGCTCAAGGCTAGCACTCTACTACTTGAGCCACAGCACCACTTCCGGCTTTTTTCTTTTTGCTTATGTGGTGCTGAGGAATCAAACCCAGGGCCTCGTGCATGCAAGGCAAGCGCTCTACCACTGAGCCACCTTCCCAGCCCTCATTTGTATATCTTAAAGAAGTACATTATGGCAAAATTCAATACACACATACAATGTGTGCTAGTGAAGTCAGGATGATGAGCAGTTGTATCTCTTCAGATAAGAATTTATGCATTGCAGTTGTCATGTCGAAAACGAACTTTACAACTTTGGTGTGGGGGGGGAGAGAATGGGGTGGGAGGGGGGGGTGGGGGAGGCTGGGAAGGGATGTGAAGGGTAAACAAAGGAGGAGGCTGCAATGCTTGATAGGAAATGTACTCATATTATCTTGCCCATGTAATTGTAACCCCTCTGTACAATATATTCACAATAAAAAAAAGAATTTATGCATTGGGAATATTATACTCTTTTCTAGTCATTTAAAAATATGTCGCAAAGTGTTTTGACCAATAGTTTCCCTTCTGTGCTAACGGAGAACCAGGAAGACTTTCTGCACTCTACCTGTGTCAAGATCACCTCACTACCCTTCAGTCTACCTCCCTGGCCCATCTTGGCTCCAGTGAGTACAATGCCACTGCATCCTATGAGACTGATGTATTATAGTGTATAAGTGACTCTGAGAAGAAACATGCTTATCTCATGAGTGAGTGAGAACACATGGTGTTTGCATTCTGTTCTGATCTGTCTGTGTTGCTGTAAGGATTTC